AGTTGCCGTCCTGTACCATCCTCCAATCCGCTGCTTCTGCGCGGAGAAGGTTGTTTCTTGTCACGAATTGACCATGTTGTTGGCGCCAGGTTAGCCTCTTGTAGGTTCTGAGAGTCCGGAGCATTGGAACTCTCTCCAAAGCACCAGCTGGGGCTCTGTTGTGCCCTCCTGAGCGCCAATCAATCTCAAGGCTGCCCTGGCAACCGTTGGATGAATCTCCTCCTCCACCAACCCACCTGGAAACTTGTCTTTCAAATGATAGGGACCTTTTTCAATTCATCTCGTCGATGAGTAGTTGTTGATACCACAAAAATTGGTACTTGGCTGTCCTAATCTCAGTGATCCAGATCGTCTTAGTTGCCGTCCTGTACCATCCTCCAATCCGCTGCTTCTGTGCGGAGAAGGTTGCTTTTTGTCACGAGTTGACCATGTTGTTGGCGCCAGGTTAGCCTCTTGTAGGCTCTGAGAGTCAACTGGCCTACCACCAGCTGTCTATCGTGTTTGAGGGTAGACTTTCATAACATTCCGTCGGCTCGGAACTGTGCCGCCTGGTCTAACCTGACAGTCATTGAAGCCGACCCATCGGCTGAAGGACTTTGGCCATCTGCAGCAATCTTTTCCTCCTTGTCTGCCATATTCAAAGTGTGCCTTTTTTGCAGCTCGTCTGAGTCTATACTTTTGACATTCTCAATATTTGTCTACAGTTACTTGTGTTTGTGTGTGTGTGTGTGTGTGTGTGTGTTTAATTTGTGGTTATTTGACTGCCATGAATTGAGACAGTGTGCAACGCCAGTCCAAAGTTGAAGGCGTTCCAAAGGAGACAGAATGCAACGAGCCATAATCAAGTTTGCGAGCTGTCCGCGTCTAGTCCGAATTGTCAAGGATCAAGGAAGACAGCATGACGCGGCGTCGGGTCAACATGATGCCGTGGGTCTTTTGAAGCTTGACTTCACTCAACTGGCAATAGATGGCCTAATCTATCGGACCCGCGGTGTCTCCAGTTCACATGCCTGCTTCCAGGGCAAAATTGACCGTGTACATAGCTTGAATGACGTGGCCTTGGAAATGAGGCAAACATCCTCATCGCAACCAGCCTCCACTTGTCATTTGCCAGTTGCTAAAGCAGCAAAGAGACACGCGATCAGTTTTTTCAGTCTTAGTCGTCAACATAAATTCTGTGCCTTTTTCAATAAACTTCTCATTATCTGGTCTAGTCTGATAGCCTCATCGACACAGTTCACAAGGCAACCTGTGAAAAGTACAGCATAGTTATGGAGAAAAATTACAGTTTTGAAGGCTCCTTTAAAATCTTATTTTTCATAAAGGCTTATAAAAACAAGACAAGAAGAATCTTTATTTTTATTGTGCCTAGTGAATTATCGTACGACATGATGTTCGTCACATGACGAACGAAAGATCGGCAAGTATTATTCGGGGTCGCGGGATGGTGAGCCGAGGACTTATTTGTACAAATCTACAGTCACATCTCCAAAGCAACCTCGCTTCGAGTTTCGGAGAGACGAACTTACATATCGTCTTCACTCACTTTTTCAGACGGAATGAAAGGTATGCTAACATCGATTTATTAAGGGATTCATTGAAAACCACATTTCCTACATGTCTCTCGACGTATGTAAGAATGGAACAGACGGAAGCTCCGTTCAAATGGATCGAGCTCAGAGAAAGCACAATCCATTATTTTTCCACTACAAGGCAGACCTAATTCGCTTTTCGTTGAGGCCAATTCACAAATTAATTTAACCCATTTTTGTATCTAAATGAAATTACACTTACCATCATAGCCCAGTTTTCAGATATTCTGATGTGGATCATTGAATGGCAGGGTCTTGGAGTGATTCGACATTTTACTTTGAACGAAACGTGCAGAACGGAACAGACGGAAACTCCGTTTGAATGGATCGGGCTCAGAGGAAGCACAATCCATTATTTTTCCACTACAAGGCAGACCTAATTCGCTGGTCGCTGAGGCCAATTCACAAATACATTTCATCCTTTTTTGTATCTAGTTGAAATTACACTTTCTATCATAGCCCAGTTTTCATAAACTGTGATTTGGATCATTGAATGTGAGGGTCTTGGGGTGATTCGAAATTTTACCTTGAACGAAAAGTGCAGAATGGAACAGACGGAAGCTCCGTTCGAACGGATCGAGCTAAAGGAAGCATAATCCATTATTTTTCCACTACAAGGCAGACTTAATTCGCTGAGGTCAATTCACAAATTAATTTCACTCTTTTT